TTAGTAACAAAATTTTTAGGCTCAATCGAGGATTGCCTGTAATGCAAAGTAAACTGAGAAAGTCAAGTATCCTTTCTCTAAAAAGCAGCCCATTAACAATATTCAACAGAAGGAGTCGGTAATAACGAACACCAATACAATTCTTCATTTCCTGAATTTTCTCTCAGCATATATTAATATAAATGATAGAATCTCCACTAAATACTTCAGTAAATTGTTTTGGTCAAATTTTCCACTAGAGGCTAATGTACAGTTGTCTCGTCTATGTGCACGAGAGAGGCAAAAGATATCCAGAGAAAGCGCCTAAGGGACTTTCAAAACATTTTCTGCCATTTCTTGAATTTTCCTATAACAGGGCAGCTTGGAAATTTAAATGAGTCAATGTTTTAAAAGTCTCTAAAAATACAGTCTTTTCCCCATAATTAATTACTATAAAATCTAAGACGGTGTGAGGAGAGAAAGCAGCACTGGTCCCATTCATCAGAAAGAAGGTCCTACAACTACCTGGCATAAAAAAGAAGCACACCATTAAACAATCGTCTTTTTAAATACCTGTCACTAATAAATCAATCTGAAAAGCCAGCCTGATAACAGCCTTGTGCTGTTTTGTGATTTTGGTCTAGTTTTAAAAGAGGGATTTCTGGGCTCAGCACTCCCCTTGTATAACACTCAAGCTGAAAGGCACTTAGGTAAGCTGTAATAAACTAGCCTGTTCTGCCTGCTGAAGTCTGCTTTCCTTGTTCCTTATTTTTGCCACTTATTTTTCCCCAGAGCTGGAGCAAGGTTGGAGCTGTTTTTCTACTGGCCAGAAAACAATAAGTCTGTCCCCACCCCTTCCAATTGCAGGAAAGCACTCAACTGATTTCATTGCAAACAAAACACTAATAGAGGAAACCTGATAATTCCTTTGGATTAGCCGAAGGAATGTATAATTCAGCAGCTATTCAGGTACTGTATTCCATAAAATAGTTCAGCAACTAATGTTATGAATACTTCAAGTACATTTTGTTCTCCAAGAAAAATAATCCGCAGGAAAAAGAGGCCCTAATATTTCATAATATTCTCATCAAATTCTGGCTTCAAAAAGAGATGGTTATGTCCAAGCTTACATTATCTGTTCAGTTTCGTCTGACTTAAAAATATAAATTATAAAATACAGATTTTTATGCTAAGAAACATTACATAAACTGCATGAAGAGTGATATTTCTGAGCTACCCAAATTTATATAATTATACAGTTTGTACCCCAAATAACATCCCAAAGTGCAATACATATTTATGATTGGAAGTCATGTATTCTGTCTGTCTTGTATGAACACCCTGACATAGCTGGGATCAAATTTCATTAACACCTATCTCTGTAATATTCCTACAAAAGGATGTAGAAGATGCTTTAGGAAGGCATCTATTGTCTTACATTTATTAAGGTAGATTTCTTATTTTTATTACTTAAACATTTTAAGCTTTTTCTTCTCCTAAATTCATGCCTACTGCCTTCACTTTCAGGTTTTCCTTAGTTGCTGAGGAATCCAATCCAATCCAATCAAAGTTTAGGCCAGTTCAAGATGAGAAATAGCAAATATTGCTGTCATCACAGCTAATCATGGAACATTTTAGTCACTCACCAATAAACTCCTGGAAAAAAATGTAGTATAGTGCTAGATTAAGAAGCAAGATTAAACTCTTTGAATTGATATTTTGGGCTAGACACCATCTTTCAACCTAACCACTTTCACAGGTTTACTGTGAGGAAAAATTGAGAAGGATGAGAGATACAAAGAAAGACACATAAACAATTTATCTCCCTACTTATTAGGCTTTTTGGATTGAAAAAAAAAAAGACCTAAATATATTTAAATTGCAGAAAAGTACTCTATTTTGAAGATCCTTTGGTATTATGTTTTTTTTTGTATTTCATAATTACAACAATGTAATAATATTACTCAGGAAACTTAGTCCCCTAAATAAATGAAGGCACATACATTGCCTCAATAATATTCTATTTACAGCATGGTAATAGCATTTATGACATAGGCATTTATGACTGAGGCTCTGAAGACTCTGAAATAATTATTACACTGGTTTGTGAGGGGAAGCACCATATGAAAAGTAAAGGTAATAGTCTCTCTCACTTATCTAACATGTGGAGGAAGTGCAGAAGGAACATATGATCCTCCAAATGTTACCCAACTGTTATTCTCATCATCCTGTATACTAGACACATTGACAGGAACAAAAGAGACTTCACCAACTTCTAAAGGGACAATATGCTTCATTCTTCTCTCTAATTTCAATGATACCCTTGATTAGCGGGGCTCAATAATGATTCAATGTACATTATTTCTTTAAACACAGAATTATTTAATAAAGGTCGGTTTCGATCAGTTAACATCCCCAAAGAAAACTATAAAGCAAATAATAAAAATCTAATTCTTCTTCAGGCAGCAAAGAAAGAAAAATATAAGTAGCAGCCTATCTTTTTTGAAAGTCAGACCCTCATGGCGGATGGTAGATAAATAAAACAATTTAATGTAATCACGAGAAAAGCCAATACTTCTATTTATCTCCAAGAGTTTTATTCCGCATTACATTCTTAAAATTATAGCAATACCTCCTTAAAAGATCATCTGTAACCAAATTAAAATCTGAGGAAAGCCCTTCCCACAAAGATTCATGGATCAAACTAAATATATAAGGCTAATGGTTTTGTTTATGTTTAGTCATGAACACCGATCAGTTATATTGCGATGAAAGATGCTTTGTAGCAAGACCAGGATGAAAGTCTTCTGAAGTTGAAGAAAAGGCCGACAGATAACTGTGCTATTCATCCATTAGTGGGAATCCTAGAGATAAATATTTAATACGAAGAACAATGTTGCTACTCTTAAACATTTCAAATGTCATATGACAGACACAATTGCTTCGTTCTTACACATAGATTAGGTCTGCCATGAAAAGTGTGAATTATCCCAAACTAGGCAATTGTCATTAATATGGTCCTGTTTGCTGCATTCTATTACGTGTATAATTAGCACGATCTATACTGAAATGTATTCAGAAAATATAATGTATATTTTAAAATTAGATTAATTTTACATTTCACCATTTTTATTTTATGCCTCACACTTCCACATAGGAATATACATGAGAATCTTACAATGCTGCTGTATAATTGAAACATGTATCCTATACATAACATATAATAATCAGCCATTTTCCAGAAAGATATCTATGCTTGTCAACTCCAGCAAAAAATGAAAGTCATTGTTGTCATCCTAACATTACATAAACCTTTGCTGATCACTACAAAAGGTTGTCCCAAAGGTGCTTTTTCAAAAGGCAACTGGACTTTTTCAGTTTGTTTCAGTTCATCCAAGAAGCTTCTTGGATGAGAAGCAAAACATCTTCAAACAAAACAAAGGAGGTCTAGTTGCCTTTTGAAAAAGCACCTTTGGGACAACCATGACCTGGATGACAAAGAATCTCCATAGACATCTACAAAAGCTTGTGCAGTACTCATTTAGGCTTTAAAGTAGGGGTGGCAAACTCGCAATGTCACGTGACAGCAATGGGGTGGGCGTGGTTTTGCTATGATGCATACGGCTCGCGGATCAGCAGTTTGACACCCCTGCTTTAAAGCTTCATAACTTTCTCAATTAGTCACAACAATCTACAGATTGAAGAAATGGATTAGTGGATGTTACAAAGTTTTCAAATAATACCAGATCATTTCATTTCAGATAATTGGGGCACAATGGCCTAGTACAGGCCGGACGTGTCATTTGGAAGCCGCGCCCACCCCATTGCCAGCAATGGCAAAACCATCCCGTTATGTTGTGCGATGTCACGTGAGGTCGCGAGTTTGACATGTCTGGCCTAATAGATAAGGTGCTTGGCTTGTCAACTGGAAGGTTGGCAGTTTGAGACCCAAGCACCATGTGACACGTTGAGCTTTCAGCTCCTGCCAACCTCACAGTTAAAAACCATGCAAATGCAAGTAGATAAATAGATACCACTTCACTGGGAAGGTAACAGAGTTCTGTGTGCCTCGGCATACAGTCATGCTGGCCACATGACTATGGAAGCATCTTGGAACAATGCTGATTCCCTCAGCTAGGAAACAGAGATAAACACCGCTCCCTAGAGCCAGGCATGACTGGACAAGGGAAACCTTTCACTTTTTATATCCTTATTTAACTGAGGAATTTTCTTTGCTAAGGGTGGGGAGACTTCAAAGTTAATGATAAAATGTTACTTTGAAATATAAGGGGATACATATCTAACACTTGTCTGCAACCCCTTAAAACAACTTTGTCATTTCCCATGAGTCACAAGACTGCCATCTGATCTTAAGTACTGTAAAGGCACTTTTTGGTTTAAGGAGTTGCAGACATTTCCGATTAGCATTTGCCTAATCTTAAAGGATCTTTTTCCCTTCAGTTCCGAAGTGCCACATAACCTTGTTCTTCATAATACATTTAATTGTTCATCAAGCTTATTCTATGTTTGCTAGATAAATATTGATAAAGCCTCCACAGCTAATTTCAAAAGAGCTTTTGTTTGGTTTACATGTGTTCAATCCTGGCAACTTCAGGCTGACAAAAATATACAAGTTTTCCAATACAGCATACAGAGTATATTTTAAAATATCAGATATCACAGATTAAGGACCTTCATTAGGTATCACAGGTTTAGGGCAACCACAAAAATGTCATTTGTGTTTCACCCAAGTATCCTTTTGAATATACTCATGAAATATTGACAAAGAACCTAGAGGGAGGCCAAATATAGGTGATATATTACTTATACTTCAAAGGAGTTTCATGGAATTTGGCAGCACAGTAAATCTCTCTCTCCCTCCCTCCCTCTCTCTCTCTCTCTCTCTCTCTCTCTTTCTCTCTCTCTCTCACACACACACACACACACACTTTTTTTCAGGTATCGATAGATCCTCCAGAAGTACAAAGAGAAATTTAATTTTTAAAAAAGAAGCAACTTACCAAAAGAGTATCCTTAAAATGTTTGCAATTAATAATACTAAACACACGTAGGTTGAAAAGCCCTCTGCGTTCTGTGTTCTTTTAATATCTCGGTATTGAGGGATGTATGGCACTATACCACCAAACATCATGGCTGCCGAAGCCCCCCAGGATATCAGCTGTTGAACTGCAGATACCAGCCATTCCCAGCCATCTGCTTCCATCATGGGCAGGATGATGTCCCTTAGCATGAGGACAGTTGGTTACAAAAGGGAAGCCCCTTTTCACTTCCTCAGGATTTACTGACTTGTATTCATATCTGATTAATCTTCCAATAGGCCATGTGCCATTCTTTAAGCAACACTAGAAAAACAAAGCGAGAGGAGACAAAGTCAAAACTTGCAAGGAAATTTTCAGTCGCATCATTAGAAAATAATTAGTCAAATCATAATGAACTAGAAGAAAAGACAATCTATTTGTCTAAACTAGTGCTTGCTCCACCATGCTGACATTCAAACAAAATATCTGTGTTGTCAAGAATGGGAAAGCTTAACAATCTTAAAACTAAGTATTCTAACAAAATATACATACTAAACCTTATTAGTTAATACTCATGATGTGCAGCGTGTTCCTTTGTTGCAATTAGTGTTCCAGCATAGCAAGCTTTCTTAAATTAATTCCTTTATAAGTCTGCATATTTTTTTATAATAAACAAAAAATTCTGCAGGTTGGATAGCACACTTATAATTAATGGCATTAATGGCAGAGCCATGGTGGCGCAGTAGTTAGAATGCAGTATTGCAGGCTAATTCTTCTGACTGGCAATTGCCAGCAGTTTGACAGTTCAAATCTCACCAGGCTTAAGGTTGATGACTCAGCCTTCCATCCTTCTGAAGTTGGTAAAATGAGGACCCAGATTGTTGGGGACAATATGCTGACTCTGTAAACCACTTAGAGAGGGCTGTAAAGCACTGTGAAGCGGTATATAAGTCTAAATGCTATTGCTATAAACATGTAATACTTTTAGGACTGATGATGTAAGATAACTACTTGTAAGACAACTCCTGTCCATAATAAAGGCACATATTTTAATGAGACACACATCAGAAGCAATCTAGTAGCTTTTAATTAAATTTAATTAGTTGAGAAAGGTGTTACCAGATTCCTTTGGGTTTTCGGCCATCGTGAAAGAACATGTCTTGCCTTTTACAGCGTCTTTAATAAAATAGACTTTCCTATTGAAAATTCCTATAATCATGAGTTTTAATGAGTAGAAATTCTACAGAGACTGATAAACTGCTGTTGACTTATTTGGTCAACAGCAATACAAAAGAGATTTTTACTCAAATTAGCATTGTTATAGAGAAAACATTATCCCTTTTCAGAAAATACACAAACATTCCTCCTCGGGCATGGGAGAGAAAATCTCTTTCAAGACACTCGCTTACTAATTGAATACTGAATAACTTTCTTATTTAGCAAATTATATTGTCACTGATTTTCATTTCCTTAAGAGCTATTTCCATCAATCAAAATTGTTTTTAATCAACAAACTCAGCTTCTCTCTCACGCACACACTACAAATACGACAGTTGAACTCCCAGAATGCCCAGTCAAATCACAAGGAATTCTGGGAGCTGCAGGCCCAACTCCCCTGCAAGTTTATTTAATTTTTCTAAGTAATTCTCGAACTATACCGTACTAACTTCTTGGTCAGGGGAAATGATTAACTATCTGCTTGTCAAGGAAAATTAATACAGGTGTGTTCAACTTACAACCGCAATTGAGCCCAAAATTTCCATAGCTAAATGAGACATTGAGTTTTGCCTCATTTTTCAGCCTTTCTTGCCACAGTTCTTAAGTGAATCACCACAGTTGTTAAGTTAGTAAGACAGTTGTGAAGTGAATTTGGCTTCCCCATTCATTTTTTCAGAAGATTGCACAATCACCCCAGGACACTTCGACTGCCATAAATACATGCCAGTTGCCAAGCATCTGAATTTTGATCACATGATGCTGCAATGGTTGTAAGTATGAAAAATGGTCATAAATCACTTTTTTCAGTGTCATCGTAACTTTGAATCGTCACTAAATAAATGGTTGTAAGTCAAGGATGACCTGTCCAGTTAAACAAAAAGAATACAAAGAAATTGATCTATGAAATCATGACAAGTAGTGAATCAAGAGAGATGAAAGAAGAAATAAGACTGTATTCTCTGCTCCTAGAGGAGAGGTCCCAGGAATTGGAGAAGGTAAGACTCCCCTTCAGACTTTCTGCCTCTTCGGCTGAACAACTGGGACCCCAAATTACGGAGTCCCAGCTGAGTCCTCTCGCTAGAAGACCGTTTTATCTACAGCCCTTGCCTTACCAAGGGAGACGGAGAGAGAGGAAGTGAAAACACCACTTTCCCCTAAGTGTTTTCTCCACTCCTCTCTGAATGGCCAACCGCGGCTCTGACACAAAACGCTACCGGTACTTCTGCTTTCCTTCCACGCTCCCTTAGCAACTCCGTCAAACTGCCCAGCTTCGAAAAGCAGAGGGGCGGCCAAACGGGCGGAAACCTAAGCCACGAAAGAGGAGGTAAGGGGGCTGCAGGGGGGGGGCTCGCCCTCTTCTTACCTGGGCTCTTGCCAAGGCCCCTCGTCCCAAGAATCGCGCATCTCCCCCTATTGCTCGAGGGAGCCCCAGCCCGGGGCGCCGCTCCCGCCCCAGGCTGCGCTGAAGCCACAGCTGCGCTGCGCCGTTTCCGTGCCCGAGGCTCCCAAAGCCACAGGCACTGCTGCTGCTCCTGCTGCTACCGCCGCCTCCTTGGGCGACTGGAAACAAGGCGCTGGCAGCGGCAGCCCCCAGCAGCGAGAAAATGAGCCCCGCCTCTGTGACATCAGGAGAAGCTGAAGTGCCTCCGTCTATGAAGAAATCCGCCCTTCCTGCCTTTCGTCGTTTGGGTCCTAGAGCCCGACCAGTTCCGGAGAGAAAGAGACTCACTAAAATCCTGGGAAATTGCAGGGGGAGGGAGGGAGGGACGGGGGGAACGGAATCTCAGTTTCCGAAAGAGAACGTCGAGCTCGTTCTCTTTGCTAAACAAGGATTTAGATGGGGACCCCCCACACACACACACACCCAAGATCATGGGATTTTTTTTTTCTTCCCCCGTCAGATACGAGAAAAGAAAGGTGTTGGGAAAATAGTCAAATGTCATATTATCACAAAGTCTTCATGCAACAAAGTGAGCGTGTTTCATGTAGAATATAAATAGATCGGAGCTGTTTCCAACGCTTCTTTAAAATGTCATAATCACCAAGGGCGGTAATATACTATTTTTAACTAAAGTAGTATTTTGAAGAAAGAAAATATGGGGGGGGGGGAGAGACATGTTTGTGCTTGCACTAAATGCCTTAGAGTTGTTTCCTATTATTCAAATTTGTTACAGCAACCCAACTCCAACAGACAGGGTGCATTTTAACTACTGTATGTAAATTCTTGCCTACTGTTGCTAATTGGTAATTATGTCTCAGCTTCCTATGAAATATTCAAGACATCAAAAGTGGTATAATAACTTCAAACCTTTCTGATAAATCCCCTCCATAAAACTAGCAGCTTGCAGGGGTTTTTTGTATAGTGTTCTGTAAAACTGAATTTAACATTATCCAGCAAGAAATCCTAAATAGTTCTAAGTTTCTTAGTTCTAAGAAACTATATAGGATTGGCACCAGGAGCAAAAAAGGAGCCCCAATCAACAATGTCTGGCAGAAACCACAACCGTTGAGACGGAAGGAAATGTAAAGATAGGAGGCCCAGCTCTCATGCTGTTCCATCATGTGCCCTGGAACTTGATAATATATAGAGAGAACTTATTATTCAAAAGTGTTACAAGGCCAAAAGAGCGTTTCCTTTATCAAATGTTTTATCAGACAAAATAAAATGAAATAAATTAACAGTCTTTCAGCAGCAGAAACAACAGGAGTAAATGTGTGTGTAGGGGAAAAATACACAAGCTAACTTAGAGTCCTTTTAAGAGCTGAAGCTAGGATAGGCATCTTTTCATTAAACTCAGTGTTGTGAGTTCACATAGGGGAATTTGGGAGGAGGGTAGTATTACCAAGAGTCCTTGCAGTTTTCTTGAAAAGATATCCCTAACCCTAACTTTGAACGATCATTAAATAAATAGTATTAAATCTCTATTAAGAACTGCAACAAATACATCTTATTGATAGTTCCAAAAAAAAAAGCATTTTAGAAGGCATTCAATATTTGTCACAATACCATGATATAGGCTCAGAGTTTTGAAGTTAGATGGATAGTTATTTGAAATCTTACAGGTAGAACTGCATTTGGATTTCTCAATAAAAAGTAAGCATGACAGGCTACTAGTTAGGCTGAAGTTCCTGAAACACTTCAATCATTCTACATGGGAGTTCTTGAACACTCTATTGAGGTCTGGCTTCTTCAGCCCAATAATAGCAAAATAAAAAGGAAGAATATTAAAATTTTCATGCCTAGATGTGGCATGATTTGTGCCAAATCCAAAACAAGCAGTATAGTACAGTACAACCTGACATATAAGGAAGTTTTTCATGAAAAATTATTTTGTTTTAAATCAATTAAGCCAAATCCTCAGATTCACAGTCATTCATGCCTTAATCACCTTTCAACTGAATTATTTCACAATAAGCTCAACATTGGGCTCTCCTTGAAAAACATTTGGTAGCTCCAGATGATCCAGAATGCAGTAGCAAGAATAGTTATGGGCACGGTTCATTTGTGTGACATCTGCCTTTCATCATATGTCCTAGTTACCAGTTGGTTTTGGGTACAATCCAAGGTGTCAGGCCTAGTCAAAGAACAATGTAACCCAATCCAGTCAAAATACGATCCTCTATTTTCTTTTGCCATATAGATAGAATCTTGCCAGACTAAACCTATACCACCCTAACCTAATGAATATACCCTGAGAGATTTTAGGGAGTGGTTATACTAAATCTTCCCATAATCCAGCTCTGGACTGTGCTGTTTCTTGTCTTGCCCCCTCCTTGGAACGTGCTCCCTCCTTCCAGGGAATCTGCTTCATTACTATAGTCCATCACAGTGGTGGTGAATCTATGGCATGGGTGCCAGAGGCAGCACTCAGAGTCCTCTCTGTGGGCATGCGCGCCATCGCCTCAGTCCTAGGCCTTCGGCTGGGTTTTATAAAACCTTTTCACTTTAGGCCTCCGCCGTCGTGTGCAAAAAAAAAAAAAAGGTTCAATCAGTCAATTTCAATTTCTTGCAATGTTGGAATTGATTGATTGAACTTTTTAGTCCCACCCAGTCTGCCGTTACCACCGCAGCCACACCCACTCAATGGGCCACACACACCCAATGGGCCACACACACCCGGCACCCGATAATGCATAAATGGGTTTTCGGTTGCAGTTTGGGCACTCGGTCTCTAAAAGGTTTGCCATCACTGGTCTATCACATAAGGTGGTAACTGTCATCTATAAAGCCCTTCAAGGCTATTGACATTTATAGGACTACCTCTTTTCAATAATATTTGCTTATCATTATCCTGTCCTTTTGACCCTTCTAACCTTTAAAAAATCCAAAGACCTGCCTCCTTCTGGAGGCTCTGGGGCAGTGTCATTTGAGTTTGATTCATGTTCTGCATTCTGGTTAGTTTTCAACAATATGGGCTGTTAAAGTTGCTATTGTTATTATTTTTTGCTTTTAGTTTTGTTTTTTTAAAATATATTATTAAATGGTCATATATCGCCTAACATTGCCTTGGTGATTGAGGGAGCTGCCATAAGATCTTGAGTTTCAACAGATGTTTGTTTGTTTACATAAACAATTTATGTTCATTGCAGAATGGATGATTAGAGGAATGATCTCTGGCTCCTGCTCTAATGGTGATAGACTCTAAAAAGCTCCTGTCACATAAACTCAGAGGATGTTTAAAAATATCAGAAGCCAGTTACAATACTAACACATTTATGTTAAGGATAGAATAGTACACCTGACAACATTCCAGAATATACTATGAATTATATTTAAACAATATGTGATATGGTTGTAGGCTAGCTAGATTACTCCAATAAGGCCAGGAGAGCCTTTGTGCCCTAAATAGCTTTTCCATGTCAGCTTAAATAAGAACATGTATTTCATAGATACTAGAGGTCATGCATCTCATGTGTCATTCTTCTAGTATCTTGTTCCATCACTGGAGGTTTTTAAGAAAAAATTGGACAACCATTTGTCTGAAATGGTATATGATCTCCTGCTTGAGCAGTGGGTTGAACTAGATACTAGAAGACCTCCCAGGTCCTTTCCAACTCTGTTATTCTGTTCTAATATGTATGCCTATGACTCAGCTAGAATGTGCTGAATCAAACTATGATGAAGGAAAGTGTTATAATTTCCCCCAAAACATTGAGTACAGGTTAGCTTCAAACTATCAAAAAAAAAAAAAAACCTGCTACCTTTTGTCTATTAAGGCATATCTGAGCAAGGAAGAAATAATCTGTTGAAACTGATTATACCCCTTTAAACACAGGAGATAAATGAAGTATCAAATCCAGACTCCTTTGAAGATGGTCCAATTCGGCAAGCACTCCAGATTTCCAAGTAGCAGCTAATCTTCAGAGGCATCCACTTTTTCATTAGCTAGTTCTGCCATCAATTGCACACTCCTCCATGTGTTGGTTTTCAACAGCATCTCCCAGTGTCCTCAGAGAAAATAAGATTTCTTCAGTTCATATGTAATTTGGAAAACATTGCTTCCCCTGCTGTGTAAAAAAGTGTAATCAACTGGTGTAGGGTTTTTTAAAAAAAAATCAATTCCTTGTTTAATCTAATTGGATTCTCTTTTTTACCCTTTCCAATTCAACAGAAAATTGAAAAGAAAATATGTAGATGAGCTCATGAACCTGTCTGTCAGCAGGATAAGTCTCTGAATACTGACAGAACTAGCCAAATTTGGCATGCAAGGAGTGGGGAAGAAGCAGCAAAAGGGAGATGAATTTGAAATGGGCTGATCTGGTTGGGGGCTACACAGATGACACAAATTTCCTGGGCAGCTTCTCAGAATGCTTCTGAGTGCACTATGATATCGCCCTTTCCCAACTTCCCAATTAGGTGACCTAGAACAGAATTACTATTACAAACAAAAATAGCCTTGTTCTAGTAAAACCTGTCCTACCAGTCTCATATTTTTCTTCAATGCATGCAAGCCATCTATATACTTAAGGATGATTAGGAGTATTTAAGAGGGTGTGTCACCTCTGTTCCTTAGCTCTTATGTAAAAAAAAAAAATCCACCATCCAATGGCAGATCCATTGAAGTATCACCACTTTCTTTTGAGTAAATTATTAAACTTGATTCCTGGTGACTTTACAGACATACGGATGTAGGTTTTCTTGGCAACAATATAGAAGTGATTTGCATTTAAGATATTTTTTTTTTACCTTTGCAATCAAACCCACAATTCTGATACAGGTAGCGCTCGACTTATGACCACAATTGAACCCAAAATTTCCATTGCTAAGCAAAACAGTTGTTGGGTGAGTTTTGCCCCATTTTACAATCTTTCTTGCCATAGTTGTTAGTAACATGGTTGTAAAGTGAATCGGGCTTCCCCATCGACTTTGCTTTGTCAGGCTGCAAAAGGTGATCACATGACCGCAGGACCCTGCAACCATCATAAATACATATCAATTACCAAACGTCTGAATTTTGATCATGTGACCATGGTGTGTGTGTGAAAAATGGCCATAAATCAGTTTTTTTCAATGCCATTGTAACTTTGAATGGTCACTAAATGAATGGTTGTAAGTCAAGGACTACCTGTATTCCTTGGAGAAAACTCATATAAGACTAACCAGTCTCAGCCCTGCTTAGGTTTCAAGCCAAACAAAGTCAGTCAAGTTGTCGCTTTCTTTTCTTGCAACAGGCTGGAAAGAACTATTACTGATTTTGTGAGTTTAAGGTGGTAAGGTGTTAGTCTTGCCTTTTCCTACGGTCTCTCTTTTCTCACTAGATTCAAGAAAATGTATTTTATACAGATGTTTTTGAAAATACTTGTCATATAAAATTAACATTTTAATGTTATAGTTTACAAGTTTTAAAATGCTACTAGCAAAAATATCATACTTTTTAGTCTTTGATTTTCATTTCTGTACTATGTTTTTAATATTATCCTAGTTCCAGGCTTTTTATTTTTTAATTCCTCATCTTGATTTGAATTATATTGCGTATCTTAATTTCATGTTAAAATAAGGCAGCACAGCTTCTGAGAATACCCTTGTTTTTCCAAATAAACAGCTCCTGGTATTAAAATTAATATTTATTTGGACCTAGTTGATTTTCAAGGTAATTTCACTACAATATTTCTTACAAGGATTTTGGCTGAGTCTCCTTCTGGTGAGATGGTGGCAAACAAACAAAACACAAACAAACAAACAAATAAATTTTACACTATGGCCTAAGGCTTTCTAGATCAGGCATGTCAAACTCGTGATGTCATATGACGTCGCACAATGTATCGCGACTTTTTCCCCATTGTCGGCAGGGGTTTTAGTGTGACGCATCCAGCCCCTGGGCCTGCAGTTTGACATGCCTGTTCTAGATGTACACAGTAAACATACTAAACAATAATTTAATATTTCTGTTTCCAGCAAGACAGGTTTGTTCCATTCATGTGTTATGCACTTACAGAAACCTTTGGGTTGGATCAAAATGCAACCTTTCTACATCATGAACTGCCTACACAGTTGCTATGGGGAAAAGAGGAGTGGGAGCATTATACAGACTTATCTTGAACTGGGTGAATGAAAGATGGAATATGTGCTCTTCTCTTGAATGAAGCATTTGCAGCATAGATGCACAGGTGACTGCTTATGGGCCATTAAGTTGCTATAAGCATGCCTGGCTGAGGAATTCTGGGAGTTGGTCCACAAATCATAAAAGGGCCAAGTTTGAAGACCCCTACTATAAACTCTCAGCAATCACATATTGTAGATCAGTGGTTCTCAACCTTTTTATATGGCGACCCCCGGTCACACGGACGCGGCGCGCATGGTATACCCCAAATCTGTATTTCTAAAAGCTGGCCTTCTCTTCAGGTTTCTGCCTGGGGAAACTTGGGCTAGTTTCTGTCTCCCGTAAGATTTTTCTCCATTATTTCTTTGGGGAAATATAATATTCTGCCTTTTTAAATATCCCCTAAAATATTTCTTTCTCTAGGAGGGTGGGTGGGTGAGTGCTGACTTTCTACATCTGTTTTTGTTTTTTTTAGGATTCCTACCACAGTGGGGGAGAAATCTCCAATTGCTACTGGAATATTTTTCCTTCCTTCCTTCCTTTTAAAACAATAAAAACAATTAAATACTACTTTAATAGTCCTATGAATAATAATAGTAACAACAACGAGATAACTCGAGGCTTCTCTTGCTGGCTGCTGACCATCCAACCTTGGGTAGCTCCTCAGCTATTTTAGACTGATCATCAAGCATATCTCAAGGCTGAACTTAACAACCAACAACATCTTTCAAACTTTAAAAACCCGGGAAAACTTGATATTTTCGCCGCTTAGAGGTGAGCTGGGAATAAAGTATATCCTTTGTAAATTCTGAATCACAGGCAACCAAAATAATGACGCGTCGGGCACGTGGCAAGGAGGAGTGGAAAAGTCACCGTCGCCTTTCGCATTGGTTTTTTTGCAGCGCCGGAGGTCGTAGCCGTGTAACCGCGCCGGCGAAGAGAAAGCCCGCCTGGTATGTTCGGAGAGCGGCAGGGAGGCGGCTTTGTCTCCGGAGCCACTTTCCTCCCATCCAGGGCGGCAATTTGAGTAGAAAAGAGCGGGCGAGACAAGTGGCGTCGGCGGCGGAGAAAGAGGGCATGGCGGACAGTGACCCTCAGAGCGTCAAGGAGCTCTCTCAGTTTGTGAGTACGCCCGACGCTCGCCTGAGGCTTTGCCGATTGCGCTGGTATGGTGCAGAAGTCGTGTGTGTGGCAGCTCTTTGTAGGCAGCGTCCCCAACACAAATATAAACTCGGTGTTAGCAATTGGGAACTAAATATAGCCGAGGAGAGATCGCGCGACAGAGATACACACAATCACTGTGACTCAACAAGGAAGAGGACGGGTGCTGGGCTAAGGAAGATGGCCCTTGATGCTCTCTGAGCTTGGTTGGTTTTTTTGCAGACGTTTTGTTACCCAAACTAGGTAACATTATCAGTGCTGGTCGGCTTTAACATCTTCACTAAAACTGATAATATTGCCTAGTTTGGGTAATAATACCTCTGCAAGAAAACAACCAAGCTCAGAGAACACTAAGGACTCCTCATTTCAACCATGAGCTACAAATATTTTCCTTTATCGGTAAGGCAGATGGCATTTATAGCTACCTCCTTACACCCTCTGCATCTTGTTACCTACCTATTTTTACCTACTGCATCCTACCTACCATAAGGCATAAAGCTATCAAGGTATCTCCTCAGCTGGCAAGTTGTGATGGTCCTCTCATAAAAAAATATCTTCCACAGCCCATCTCTGGTGCATTCTGGTCCTCATAATCCAAGATTGTGGCATTGAGATCCAGTATCAGTAGAGGGAACAACATTTGGGAAAAGTAATAAGATTTTCAGAAAGTTTCTACATCTCTTCACTGAAGATTAGTGCCTGTTGTTCATGGGACCAGAAACTCTCATGCCTTGGAGTGTGGGGGGAACGAGGCCAACTTTTTCTTAATCCAAGGGATTTCTTTCAAGAATGTCTAAATAAAAAAAAAAACCCTCTTCTTTTAATACTATGTAAAATTAATAAAATAAAATAATAAAATACTGTTTAAAAATTAGCGATCTATAAGAACACTTCCATATAAAAGTTAGATATAATCTCAGCATTTCATATTCTCTGTTTTATGTTCCTTTTTTAAACTCCTTTTATAGATCATAGCATTTTCACAAAATACATTAGCTATTTTAGGGGAACTCTCTCCTTTATCACAGTAGATGAAATAAAGCTCAGTTCCTCAAATAATAGACTGCCATTGCTTTTTATGCACTGTAAACAATCAAGCTAAGGCTGGATGAGTCCAGGAAGTAGCTTAAAGTGGTAACTTGTCTAACATTATAGGTGTATTTTTTCACCTACAGGCAGAAAATCTCCTACAACAGCTGCAAGAAAACTTTGAAGATCTGACTGATAAATTATCTCTAAAAAATATCCTTTTCAGATCCCTTTCTAAAATTAATATGAAATCATTTGTAATGGGCTTGACTAATCACTAAAGTTTCCAAAATATGTTTATAGTTTTGAGTTTATCTGTCAAAAATAAAACAGGGCAAAGGTAAACTGGAAGATGATAGGAAATACTTTTGGGAACTAGAAGTGAGATTTTAATCGGGTTGTTTTCTGATAAGAGTTTTGTACAAGAGGAATTCTTCTAAACAAGACACTGGATTTTAGCCACTCATCATTTTTATTTCCTAAGAATACTTATGGAGACTATCAAAAGTCTTTGTAAATAGAAGTCATTTCAGAAGCTGCTACTTTATGGTATAGCATGTCAACTTCCCATTTGAATTTTTCACTTAAGAATCTAAAAAAGGGAATGTTACATAAAGCAGTAAGCCTAGTGAATTTATATCAATTTTAGAAAAGTATTAATTTTCATTTTACAGCAAGAGTTATGCAGCATTCTTAAATACCATTAATGGTTAAGGTACCAATTTAAGTATATTAGATCCTCCTATATAGGAGAGTTATGGTGAGATATATTCCTCTTCAACTTTATGAACTGAGACAGTGCTGACAGTATATAGGAAACTATTAAATAATAGTAATATTCTTTTAAAATAAACTAATAATCTTGCCTCAACAATTATATTTGAACAGATGATGTTCAGTCTTGAAACACTTAACTACAATATTATACACATTATAAGCTTTTAATGTCCTGTAGCATACATTCAGACCAGATAAGGCAAGAAGTATGAAAACAATATTTTTATACCTAATAAAATAGAACAAACATCATTTTGGACTTTTTTACAATAGAAAGGAACCAAATGTGAATCCTGTTATTTTTTGTTTATACGCACTATGTATTCTTTTCTCAGATAGATTAATATAAACTCCTAATAAAAATGAATTAAAAAATGCAGTGCTCTTTAACCTTTTACTGGATGAGATGGGTGAACGGATAAATGACTTGGAAAAGCATGTTGCTGAACTAATGGCTGAAGCTGGAATAGAAAATGCTAATGAAGATTCTGAACGGTGAGATTCTGATTGTATAAACTAGTCACATTACTGTTGTAATAGCTAAAAATCTCCTATGACAATAAATTTAGCATAACCAATTCAAAAGAAAACCATCCTTTAAAACAGGGGTGTCAAACTTGCAACGTCATGTGACGTGTTGCGCTGTATCGTGACTTTTTTTCCATTGCCAGCAATGAGGTGGGCGTGGTTTTGCTATGACGCATTTGCCCGGCAGTTTGACACCCCTGCTTTAAAACAAATTCTTGTTTACATTAATAGAAGAACAAGAACATAGCTAGCTTATGACAGAGTAAGGATTTCCACAACTGAAACTCAGTATTCAGTGAATCCATAGAACCATACATAATTTGCACTATCTTTTGCAAGGCACTTTCAGTTTCCCAGTCGAACCCATTAATTCTGAGATCTCTCATCTAAAAATTCAGCAGATCCATCTTTGTTTTAAAAACTCAGCCACAGCATATTCATTTGCTTACTGCAGTTCAGAGAATAAGTTATAATGTGCAAAATTTTGGAGTGATTGCCAAGAGTGCCAGGACTTACCTGTTTGTAAAGAAAGCATGAATATGCATATTTGTACAAAAATAATTCAGGTGATTAATTCAGCAGACAGAGCATGTTGAGCTAGTGTCACCTCTCATAAGAGTACTTTCTGTATTTGAAAAATTTTGGAAAATAAATGATTTGCCTTTTCATTCAGTTGAAAAACTAGAAAGATTGAGAGATAGTTATTTATATGCTAAATTCACATCTGGTTTTCCTAATTTTAACTCACTTTGTATGCTAATTATTTTTATACAGAACCAAAGACATCAAGGAAACACTGGATAGAACATGAAGACTTTAAGACTAAGTACGGTCTATGTTTGTACAAATGTTAAGATATTTGTTAAAAGACTGTATAACTAAAGGATACATACTATATCATCAGCTACAAAAAAAATCAAGCTGTAAATATTTCTGGCCTATATTGCTATAATATAGAATCATGCAAATGTGATGGGCAGTATAGAAATTTAATACATAAATAAGGAAAATTCTTACAATTTTTTTTTGCTTAAAAGTGACATTAAAGGCTGAAAACTACTTCATATTAACATTGAATTCATGACAATTCATATACATTTTTGTATGAATATATTTATAAGCTTTTATACCAAGTTTAGTTTCCATTTTCCCCTTGAAGTTTGTTTTCTTAAGACTATCAAGTACAAAGAAAGCAGAGTAAAATTCCATGCTAATAGTTAAAATTAGTGTAATCTCTATTTCGATTAGTTTTCCTCTATTGAGATCGTTTTTGAAGTCATATTGCTATATCTAATGCAATTCTGAACAATTTCTACCATGATTTTTAAAATAATATTCCTAGGAGGCCCTTCAAGGCTTAACTACTGCAATACATCCTATAGGGAACTGCCCTTGAAGACTACCCAGAAGCTTCAATTGATCCAGAATGCAGAGGCATGGGCAGTAACAGATATGCCTGTGTAATACTCTTGCTTTGTGAACTGCACTGGTTGCCAGTTTGTTTCTGAGTGCGATTCAATGTGGTGGTAATTACCTATGAAGCCTTACATAGAATAGGGTCTGATTATTTGAGGGACCGCCTACCTCTTGTAGTAACTGTCTAGCAGATTTGATTCAGGTTTTGCATACTCCAATTGTTTTGATTAAACAATACCACCTCTCAGCATCCAGAAGTGCATATTCTCTGCTGGAGTGCTTGCCCTCTGGAATGAGGTTTTCCACAAGAACTAGGTGGTTTTTATATTGTTGTTTTAGAGCACGGGTATCAAACTCAATCGTATCATGTGACATATTGCGATGTTTTTTGCCTTTGCGGAGCAGGGATGGGCATGGCCTGTATGTGACGCATCGGCCAGCGGGCCACCAGTTTGACACCCCTGTTTTAAAGGGTCTTGTACACCCGGCTCTTTGCCCTGGCCTTTGACTACGATGGATGTAGTATTTTCCAAGGATAACTTAATTTTTGCTTTTTTTACCTTTTGCAAGGACTTTTATTCCTTGTTTTTATTGCATTGTATTGTTTCTTTTGTTTTTGCTTGTGAACTGCCTGAAATTGTTGGGAGTTGGACATTGTACATATTTACTAACACAAAATTACGATTTTCAGCAAATGAACTAAGGAAATTAGATAACTGAAGGATGTCAGAAATATAACCTGAACCTGGATGACCTTTTTCATATATCATGCTAAGTCATAGTTTGGTTCATCATGGTTTAATGAGTAAGCAAAAAACTGGATACATTTGTGCAATACTCTAAGTTATAAAACATGATTTACAAATTGCAATTTGTCAATCACACTAAACCAAAAATAAAAAGATCACACTGGTTTACTGTATGTGAAATGATCTGTTTTCTGCTTATCTTATATATAAGCCTATGTATTTTGTACCCACTTTTGGTATGTTAATAACATTGCCTAAGAGCACATAGTTGAATTCATCACTGTATAAACCAGTGGTTCTCAGCCTGTGGGTCAGGACCCCATTTGGGGTCGAACGACCATTTCACGGGGGTCGCCAAACAACGCAGTCCGCCATTTTTTTCCCCTTTTCCTTAGCTGTAGAATAGAGTCTAATTCTATTGGCTTTCAAAAGCCAATAGGAATTGTCCAGGCTGTGTCTGCCCTGCTGAGCCCACCAAAAGTCCCATTCTGCAAACGGTGCTGCACCAATTGAGTAGTCCTTGACTTACGACCAGTTGAGTAGTCCTCGACTTACGACTGATTGGGGGTCACGGCATTAAAAAGGTTGAGAACCACTGGTATAAACTGACATGAACATGTTCAAATGAGGACATGATTTTGAAGTATGAGTATTTCAGGGATCATATTTTTTTTAATTTGTCAAGTAAAACAGCCTTTTTGATGTAAGTAATATTCAACATATAGTTGTTTAAACTAGTGTTAGTTTTCTGATTCGCCTTTCCTGTAAGAACTTGAGGTTTCTTACACAGTGATCTCCAGCTGTTAAAATATTTAAATACTGAAAACCACCCAGATTAAAAACACTTTACTCAATATTCAGAGAATAGAATGGATGTAGAGAGAATTTTTAACTCAGGGATTGGCAATCTATGGCCTGTAAACCAGATGTAACCTACCACTCACATTCAGCCTGTCATCTGAAAAAGAAATATATTCACCTAGTCCATAAGATAGAGGAAGACCTTTGCCTGCCTCTACAGGCAGCCATTTTGGCAATGATTCATTAGCTGCCCATGGAGAATTCAGGTCCCCCGAAATCCTGACAAAAAGCTTGTCTCTGGTTCCTACATTGAAAGCTTCCGATAACTGCTTTAACAAGCATCCAAATCATTTTAATCAGCAGATCCTAAATACTAGAGGACATCAAGGCAGGAGAACCAGATGCCATTTACAGATCATAATATCACCAGGAAGGCTTCTTCTCTGTCTTTCATGACAATTTATTTTATAGTGAGAATGTGAAGTGCCAGATAACTTAATTTTTCAGGACTACCTGTGCCAAAGGTAAACTAGGCTCATTTGATTAGGCATCTACAGCAGCTTTTCTAACACTGGCATGAGACATGACTGCCCTATTCCACTCAGAGAAGTTTATATGCATTCCTAGAGTAAATACATTTTTAAAAAGAGACAATACATTATAGAAAAAAATATAATTATTTTTAGAAAGCACTTGCCATTTTAATTTTTTTTATATTCAAAAGTAAATTTAACTTTTATTTCCGAAATCAATGACATTTTCCCATGAAAATCAGGAAACGTTATTTATTCACTTCAATATATTCACAATGAGATTTAGCTATGGAAGAATTCTCCTATATTAAGTCTGGTTTTAGGAAGTTTCCAAGAAACACGACTTGAAATAAATAGCCAAAAGGTCAATATCTGTATTTGGTTGAGTAGTCTTTGGGTGACACAACGAGACCTCTTCCTTTACGAGCTCCTCGATAAACTGTTTCTATGATGTCAATCATCTCTTGTTTGTCTTCCATTGCCCAGTTAATTTTGTTGTTGTTACCTGTGCCTAAATCGATCATTATGTGCTTGTTTCTTTAAGAAAAAGAGAAAAATTATACAAATATTTATTTTATTGTTTAACATTTTATATGCATACCTCCTAAAGCAGTGGTGGCGAACCTATGGCACGCGTGCCAGAGGCGGCACTCAGAGCCCTCTCCGTGGGCATGCGCACCACGGCCACTAGCAGCTCGCGCAGGTCCATTAGGCTGCCGTCGCCCGGAGCAGCAGCCCTGCCCAGCGCAAAGCAGGCAAAATGGCTGGCTAGCAAACTCGAGTAGGGATGTTAGAGTATCAAGGTGGCCACGCCTACCTGGCCACACCCACCCAGTCTGCTGTGACCATCCTAGCCACGTCCATCCAGTGGGCCACACACCCCGCCCTCCCTGAGGGAACCACAATCCTGATGCGGCCCTGGCACTTTGCAATAAATAAGTTGGTTTTGGGTTGCGGTTTGGTCACTTGGTCTCTAAAAGGTTCGCCATCACTGTCCTAAAGTATTTCTGCATATATTTGTATACCCAGTGAGATAGTTATTAATATGTATACAAACTTTCCTTTATCCCAATGAAGTCAGGCTGTAATGTTATCCCAAACCAGTGGGCTGTAGTTGACTTTAATAAAATTAGAAAGTAGTGGTGTCCCATTAATAAAATTGTTAATTTTCTTTTTCACAAATTATTACCAATGTATACTTATTGGAAATAGTGTTATATTACCAGGCATGTGATGAACTTCCACATGACATACGTGGTTTTGAAAGGTACATAAAAATACAATAAATTCAAATGACTAATTTAAATAACTTCCCATATCATATCCAAACAGAAAAGAACTCCACACATTTATGTCATTTCTAGAATTACAAAAGACTCAGTTAAGAAAATTGATAAACTCAGGCAAAATTAAAGTTTAATATCAAATTAAATTAATTATAGTTAACAATTGTGGCTTATTGTGATGGAATGTAATGGGCCAGATTCCCAGGAGGGAGGGGCTGCATTCCAGAAGAGTAAGAGGCAAGCCAGACCCTTTCTAAGAGTTGTCAGAATATATACACTATGTAGTTGTAGGCTATTTCAGTTTGGCAAGACTGATGTCAGGCCCCCAAAGTCAAGGAAAATACTTGGTGATTCTTCCAAGCAGGATTTTTTATTTTTCCATACCTGTAGATAAAATCTTGCCAATTCGTCATCTTCAGGCTGGTGTTTTCAGCTTCGTGCTTTGAGGAGCTCCTCGAAGCACGAAGCTGAAAACACCAGCCTGAAGATGACGAATGGGACTTCGTCGAAACGTCGCCAAGACACTTCCAATTTTACGCGGGAGAAAACCCGAACAACCAAAGACCTACATACATACATACATGGAACTATTAGAGAGGAATCATGTTCACCCTCTTTCTCTCACACAACTATCTGAACTGAGTTGCTGCTTAGTCCTCTGGCATACACTCCCTACCTCTTTTCTAGGAATCTGGCCCACTACATTCCATCATCCTTACAGAATGTAGTGGGCTGGAGTATTTCTCTTTTCAGCAAATAATAAGCTTTTCTCTCAGACTGCTACAGAAGGCCAATAGTTATGCTGGCATTTTCTTCTTAATAACTATATACCAGAGATCTCCAATCTTTTGGGCACCAGGGACCGGTTCCGTGGAGAGAGATTTTTCCACAGACCAGAGGGGGCATGGTTTTGTGTGCTGCCTGCATTACGCAGATGGAGCTTTGTGCGGACCAGTTGCTGGATGCTGCGGCCCGGTACCGGTCTCTGGACTGGGGGTTGGGGACCCCTGCTACATACAGAACAGCTCTGTAAACTATATGCAAAAACCAATATATAATTCTAACTGGGAATGCCACGTTCATTGCAAACTCTATCAAGCTGTTTTGCATGACCTGTTCTGATCCAAAAGCAGTGTCTAACAGGAATGAATTATGGGACAACTGGAGATACACTAATAGGTAGTCCTAATTTAGTGACCACAATTGCAACCAGCAATTCTGTAAAAGCAGAAAAATTGTGTGACTATAATAAGCTTATGATCTCAGTTCCCCTTCGGGTGTTAAGTAAAACATTGTATGACTCTGATTTATGATTTCACTCCTGTCTTCTCTGTTAAGTCTGCCAATGCAAGCCAGTTGCAAAGCACACCAATAGCAGTCACATGGCTGGGGGACACTATGACAGTGCTAAATGCAAGGATTGACTGCAAAGCTACTTTTTCCCCCTGCATTGTAACTTCAAATGCTTGCTAAGCTAGGTAGCTGATAAGCGAGGACTAACTATGGTAAGGGAATGCCACTTGCCTTACCGTTATGATAATCATAAAAAACACTTCTGTCATATCTTTCTAACTCACAACTAATTCACCAGGACCTAAAGCATAAAATTGCAAGTCACCTCAATAAGACTGGTGTTGTCACTTTTCCTTACTAATGCTGGTTTGTTGCCACAAAAAAGTTACTTTCAGGTTTAGATTGTAACTTAATGACATAATAACATAATTAGGCAGGAATTGTAAACCCCCCTCCCACTGAACAAACCCTACTGAGAACATGCAAGTTAAAAAGCAATGTAAGAATGAAAATATACCTGAAGAAGAACATAACTGTACAGGGATCATACAGTTCGTACATTTTATTAAAATCCGGTACTTCTGTGATATCTACTAGATAAATTACAGCAAAATTTTTCACCTAAGGGAAAAAATAATATATTTATAGTGTAAATGTATTTATAAATTATTTTCATAATATTGTAAGCTTACACAGAAACACATGCATAGGTTTTGACTTCTTAGAGAATGCAAGAACATAATGATATCCAAAACATGATGCTTGAAACAGTTAGCCACTACAGCTATATTTAGGTAGATTCACCACCAGTCTATTTAAAAGATCCATTTTCTAACAATAAACAAAGTTCAGATCATTCCCCCCCCCCATTAGTTTTGCTATTAAGTAATAATTTTTACAGAAGTATCAGATTATTTTATACTCCCTTTTCATATCACACATTTCTGCCTTTCAGAATAAAATTCCTTCAGTGACAAAAAACGCAGAAATTTCAGTAGTAAGCATATTTGCTAATACAACATGTTAACTTTTACAAGGAAGCAAATGCATCCAATTGGCTGTTACTCACCAAACATCTCACCCTACCTATTTCTATAAAATCCTATTTATCACTGACAGCTATTTTTGTTTTAGAAGTGACACATCATAATTTTAGGAGAACATCTAAAAATTGCAATAAATAAAACAACGGCAATGAATGAAATTGGGATATATATATACTTGAAAGAGCAAACAAAGAATAAAGGAATGAATATATAC